AGACAGGTACTGATGTGAGGGACCATCCTGCGTAACACCTCTCTACTAAAGATCATCCCAGGACCTCCCATGCAAAAGTTTTCTCCGGGTTCTAGAGCCAGTCGTCCTAATTCTTCAGCTGTGCCCAGCCCTGTCTGGCCAAGGTAATGGGGCTGACTGCTGTTGAGTGACCGCAAGAACAATTCCAGCTTCCCACCTAGCAGAAAGTGAGTTGTAAGAAATAACTGTTATCAAAAATGGTAAAATGTATGTATTCTAGACGTGTATGTGTGCATGCTTAAGTCTTTATCTTACTTATCTCTCAAGATAAAGACTCAAAGTATGTGAGCATGTAACCCACTGTTTTTTTTTTTATTAAAACACTCTTTTTACACTTTGTAGCTGAATGAAAAATATTAACAACTTAGCAACTTGTACAATCGTAGCTTTGGTTGCCTAAAATGAGACTACATTAATTTATCTCAGTAATTTAAAAGAGATGTTGTTTTCACTAAAGCGACACAATATTGCATAATGCATAGCATGTTCCATTTTTCTGTGACAAATAAACAAACTGCACTGGCATCAAATTCACTCCCAAAATAAGCACCTCTTATATAAACATCATCATCTGCCCGCATGAACCACTCGAATTTATCCAGGTAATGGTCATGGATGTACTTTAGCATCATGAATGATTTCTTCTGTGGTGGATAGGAATCATCAACACCTGCCAGCGAAACCACAGGGAGGGGAGCAGGCGCGTGGACGGTCCCAGACCCAGCGCTCGAGAAGAACTCCACCTTCCCGGGTATAGAAGCCGCCCATGTCTCATACGCAGCCCGTGCTCGAGACGTCAGGTATTTTTTGGCTGTCATCACGCCAACATAAATGAAACGCTTTGGTTTGCTTTGGGTTCTGCCTAAATGTGCACTGCTGTTCTTCGTACTGAATAACCTGTTCTCCTGCGGACTGTCCACATCTTTGACTGACACGGACTTTCCGTGGATGTCAGCACCTATAGCAACGGCGGAGTCACTGTAGTACAAACACATGGCAGATCTTTTCCTTTTACTTTCCAGAACCTGAGGTAAAATGAGCCAAGAGGACGCTGTGAATCCGAGAAAGACGCCGAAGATCACGGTCGTCCACGATCTTCTGGACTTAACAGCCATTTTCGTATCCTACGAAGAGTACAGTTCTGCGGTTAACGGGGACCAAATGTATGATTGCTGACGCTGTAAGGGTGGTGCTAATCTGTGAAGCATGCTATCCCTATGGAGCAGGAAGTTTCCGTTTTAGTAGCATAAGTCACGGAGCGGGGCATTTCCTCCACAACATTAAGAAACATGTTAGCCTGTCCCCAGCCGTCCCATGACGTCTGTACTGAATATTTGTATTTTAGTTTCTTTGGGGGTTAAATGATTTTGTCCTCATCTGGGACCGCTATCTTGTCGTCCGTCAACAAAAACAAATCGACTTCCAGTCGTATTTCCTTTTCAGAATAAAAGCAAATGTCCATAAACTTGCAGCAATAGTTTTCTCGTTTGTTTGTTTTAATAAAAACCAACTGATTAACCACGACATGCAAATTACAACGGTGTATAAAACCTTCGAAAATTAACATTGGTCTAAGGAGTAACAAATATAACAAAATGTCAATACTTTTGTTTTGAAAGTATCCTTTTCTCTAACAACTTTTAAAATGATTGCAATACAAAATAAAAGCTTTATCACCGTAGACTGACGAATCATACAAATATATATATATATTCTCTGGTATTTGACGTGCATGAGCATTATAAGACCTTACCACGCCACAATTTTATAACCATCTCTTCACAATAAACCCGCAATATTCCAGTTGGTTAGGCTGAAAAATAAACGCATTATCAGCTGTGCTATCGCGCAGTCCGTTTCATTCGTGCGGAACTGGTCGGTTAAATTGAATGGAATGGTCGAGGCGCAGGGATCTGGTCTCATTTCAGCGGATCTGGGCTAAAGCAGATCGGTTAAATGGAAGAGTCGCGTCATCTCCGTTTACTCCAATGGACCTTTTTTCCTTTCTTTCTTTCTTTCTTTCTTTTTTTAAACTGCAATTGCGGATTATGGAGCCTCGTAATAGTCCCGGTGTTCCAGGTGGTTCCAACTGGTTTTTATATTAACTGGTTAGATTCGTTTACATATTCCACTCTCAGTGTTTCAGATGTTGGATCCGCAGATTCGTCATTTTTACTGAATGGGCTTCTGTCTGTCAGTGTGTCATGCGGTTTGTCAAGATTCATTCCTTTTAAATTCCGTTTGACATTTTTAAATTAGATCAGTCAGTCTGAGGGCGAACACAAGCTGCTGTAGCTCTGCTCTGAGGAACAAGCTACATTTGCTGATTTTGTGCAGAATTTTGCCATAACATCACGTGATATAGAGTAGCAGCTGCCCACGTAAAATTTTTACATCACCAAGTAACGTTTGCGTGTTTCCTGAGTCAGTCAACTCGAGGGACGAGTCGAAAAGAAAATGTTGGCTCGTTTTTTATGTTATAGAAAGACAGAGGTAGGAGACAGAGCAGAAGACTTTTTGATTTAAAAATAATAATAATAATTTCATTGTTGCCTGAAGATAATATTTGCATGAGCTGGAGACCTCTTGTCAAATCGCATGACACACTAACAGAGAGAGAGACAGAGAGAGAAGACCAGGATCAAACATCTGGAACTCAGAGCATGGAATATGTAAACAAATCCAGCCAGTTAACCTGGAACACCGGATAGGTTTTCTGTATTTAATCTATCACAACACCTGTGGCTCTCACAGATTTAAATATATTAATCTTTCCACATCAAAAGGAGCCAGTTGAGGTGGTTCGGGCCCCCTGCCCCCTGGGCACCTCCTGGGCGAGGTTTTCCAGACCCAGGACGCTGGAGAGATTATATCTCTCAGCTGGCCTGGGAACGCCAGGGAGGAAGGTCTGGGCTTCTCTGCTTGGGCTGGTGCCCCCGCGACCCGGCCCCGGATAAGCGGAAGAAAGTGGATGGATGGATAATCTTCCTTACTGTATTGGATTGATGTACAAAAATATAATTATTAAAATATAGTCACTTTATTTTCCACTCAGATTATGCGATGTTGATTAAAGTTTTTGTGTTTTGTTAAGAAAAGCCCAGCACTATGCCTTCCCATAGCTTTTTCTGTCAAGCTATTGACAATCTACAGAACCAATGCAGATGGAGAAAATGATTATACATGTTCAGTAGAATCAAATCTGTGAAGCATACCAAAACAAACAAAAAGAAGTGTTTAATTTTTGTTTCTTCTTATAGATCTTCTTATATTTATTTTATTTCCACAGGTACAAGTGAATTATGAAAAAAAACACTGAAAGTCTGTTGAATGTAGAGTCCATTGTTTTGAGGTTATTTAAAAGACAAAAGAATGCTGTACTCATAAATATACATAGATTAAATGGTAGGTAGACTGTTTCTCATATAGGGCTTTGCTACTCTCTCAGAGCGCTTTATACAGGATGTCACATTCACAGAAGCACATTCTTCTATGCTTTTAAGTGTTTTCGAGCTAACATTCACACCCCGAAAGATACATCAGAGAGCAACTTTGGCTTAGTATCTTGCATGTCCCAAGGATATTTGGCATGCAGCCATGGATCAAACCACCAACCTTCCTATCAGTAGATGTCCTGTTCTACCACCTGAGCTACAACCACCACAGATCAGCATGCAATTACATCTTCCAAGAAAATGATGCGCCTTCATAAACTTTGAATTAATCCATTAAAAATACATAGCAATGTGGAAGCTGCCACATTGCCCTGCAGTTCTGAATAGAGTGGAGGAGATGAAATCACTCTGCATATGTAGCACACAGAACTTTTGTTGCAGTTACTTGTTGTTAGGAGATTGGACCCTACAATCTCTGGACAGTTGAAAATGAGTCAGAAAAACACATGTGATGAAGTTGAGAGCCATACAGGGGTAAAGGGGTGGGGGGATGGTGGGAGGGGTTCATACGATATGTTTTTCTTTTTTTCTTTCTTTTTTTCTTTTTCTTTCTTTTTTTCTTTTTCTTTTTTTCTGTAATTACCAATACTGTTATTATTATAATTATTATTTTTTATTTTTATTATTATTATTAATACGCCCGTATTTTCTGTGTTCGGTCCTCAGATGGTTGAGGCTATGTTTGAAAGATAAAGATACTAGAGTGTGTTTCTGAGATTTTTTTTTTTTTTTTTTTTTTTGGTCATAATGACCAGCCAAGCATTGGCTAGTTGATGATACTCTGTCCCATAACTGTAAATGTCTTTTATTGTTTGTTTTTGTTTGTTTGTTGTTCATTTTCAATTTAAAAAATGAAAATAAAAAGTAAAAAAAAAA